GGCAGCATCCCTGGCCTCCACCCACTAGGTATCAGTAGCACCCCCTCTTCAAGTTGTAACAACCAAAGACATCTCCAGACATTGCCAGCTGTGCCCTGGGGATACCTTCCCCCCAATTTTAGAACCACTGCTCTAGATGTAGGGGTCCCTGGGTGGCACAAATGATTAAGTGCTCAAGTGTTAACCTTAAAGTTGGTGGTTTGAACCCACCCAGTGGCACTGAGGAAGAAAGGCCTGGCAGTCTGCTTCCATAAAGATTACAGCCAAGAAAACCCGATGGAGCAGTTCTACTTTGTTTAACGCATGGGGTTGCCATGAGTCGGAATGGACTCCATGGCAATGAGTTGGGGGTTTTTTTGGCTCTAGATGCATTGAAGAAACCCTGGTGGCATAGTGGTTAAGCGCTACAGCTGCTAACCAAAAGGTCAGTGGTTCAAATCTACCAGGAGCTCCATGGAAACTCTGTGGGGCAGTTCTACTCTGTCCTATAGGGTCGCTATGAGTTGAAATCTACTCTATGGCAGCAGGTTTATTTTTGGGGTAGATGCATTGAGGTTTATTGATAAGGTAAATCTCACCGGGAAGACAATGAGATGAGACATAATAAAAACACACATTTAGGAACTGCATTTGATCAAGTGTCCTTAGGATGTCAATCTTTGTCTCCTTCCTGAGAAAATCCTATTTGCTTCCAATAAAATGGCAGCAAGCTGACTACACATGAGAAAAGCCGCTTAGTCCTTAAATACCCAAAGCGAATTTCCGCCCTAAACTGAGTTTGGTGTACAAATCAGCAGCCCATATGGAAGGGGAGAATAAGCTATGACAAAACAAACACATTGATTTGGAGGAGTGACAGGTATTTTCCAGTTCACCGCACTTTTCATATCATTTAGGAGGATTCGCACTGCCATTGTCTGCAGGAAAGTAATTGGATAGCATTTTTCATCCAAACACCTCAAAACAATTCTAAGCATTAACTTGTGAACTTCACATTATACTTTGACACGGAGGAGAAATAATCCCGGTTCTAAGGGCAGGGATTTTTTTCTCAGGGCACATATGTCTTTGTGGCATAATGAAATAAATTGTTATTTATGGTGTCTTTGGTCCTTTAAAGAACTCTAAGTACTGTAATTTTGCGATATGTGTGCTAGCCACAAATTGTTCCAGTTATCGCTATGGTGGAAAGTTGCATTTGCTAAATAACTTCGTTAAATAGCTACCATGTGCTTGCAAAATGTGCCTAGGGTCCGTAATTGTTTCCTTTAAAAGAGTAGCCAATTGATGATAGGGCCAGATATAGTTAGGGTGAATACAGTTACCTAGACTGTAAACAAAAACTTCCTCTAAAAAAATACCCAGCAGCCCATGCTGTCATCACTGCGTGTAGGCGAGCCCATTGAAGTATGCTTGATCTCCATCGGAAATCCCATGGGCTGGCTAACTGGTCTTCAGTAAATCACTATGGCGATACTCCCTGATGCTTTGCCTTCTTGCAAAATGGGCACATGAATGTGACGTCACGTCGTTCTATCCCAGCTCTCATTTAAAGCCAAGATGTTGAGATGAACACCTGAGGAAGGCGGGCACGTCTGCATCGACTCCTTGTAAACGGTTGACGCCTCTTGCTCAATGTTATCATGGCACCTTGAGACCTATAACTAAATAAAGAAGACGTAATAAAAGCAGCGGCCTTCCCCTGGGAAACGGCGCTGCACATTAGTGTGCTGTCAATATTTCCGTAAACGAGGGATAGTGATGGTTGCTGTTAGTTGCCCGCGACTGGGTGCCGACTCTTGATGACCCCACGTACAACAGAAGGACGCGGTGCCCGGTCCTGTGCCGTTTCCACGATCGTTGGTATGATTGAGCCCATTGTTGGAGCTAGTGTGTCCATCCATCTCACGGAGGGGTTCCCTCGTTTTCGCTGCCCCTCTGCTTCACCAAGCATGATGTCCTTGTCTGGCAACTGGTCTTTCCTGATGACATGTCCAAAGTAAGTGAGCCTGAGTCACACCATCCTCGCTTCTAAGGAGCGTTCTGGTTGTGTTTCTTCTAAGACCAATTTGTTCATTCTTTTGGCAGTCCACGATTGATTCAATATTTTTGGCCAACTCCACGATTTTAATCGGCCAAAAGAAGAAAAATGAGAAAAAAAAGAATATAATTAATCCGACTTGGGAATACAGGCCTTGGTGACAACATATATGAGCACGTGTTTTATATTAAATAAACATACGTTCAGGTGAAGGCTGAGCCACTTATTAGCTGAGAGACCCTTGAGTGAGGGACTTCTCTTTGCGAAGCGAGTTGGGGGAGAATTAAATGAGATACTCTGTTTGAGGGCCCACAGTTGTTAAGAGCTCAGGCTACTAAGCAAAAGATCGGCAGTCCGAATCCACCAGCTGCTCCTTGGAAACGCTATGGGGCAGTTCTGCTCTGTCCTAGAGGGTCGCTATGGATCGGAATTGACAGCCACAGGTTTCGTTTTGGTTTACCAAGGCTGGCTTCGTGGGCACGCATGCAACCTGTGCCGTCACATGGGACCCTAATCTCTAAAGTGGTTTCACGCTTTGCTGTCACCATCTTAAAATTCTTACTCGTTTTTGAGCAGTGGGCCCTGCCTTTTCATTTTGTATCAGGCCGCACTAACTAGGTAGCTGATCCTGGCACCTAGCACAAGCCTGGTGCCACAGAGACACCAAACACATGGTCATTCTGTTTCTGCTTTCCTGCTGGAGCTCTAGTCTTGTGCTATTTTTTACCTTGAACTTGCCACTGCTGAAATCTGATACCCCAGCACCTTCTTTGGCCACCTGCCAGGAAGCTATTGCTGTAGGAGCTGTTACAACCAGGACCTGTCCCCACCAGGACCTGTCCCCACCAGGACCTGTCCCCTGTCACCTAGCAGGCGCTAGGAGCGTCCATTCTTGGAGCTGGTGCGAGTGAGCAGACGTGCCGGTAGCCTTCATTCCTGCCACAGAGAAAGAAACAGAACCAATAGGCATGTCTTGAGTCCCTGCCTTGTAGACTGAATATAAACGACAAAATTAAAAACAGTTTCCCTTGAGACGACCTCAACTCTCAGCGACCCACATGTCAGAGTAGAACTGTGCTCCATAGGGTTTTCGTTGGCTGATTTTTCTGAAGCAGGTGGCCAGGCCTTTCTTCTGAGGCACCTCTGAGTAGACTCAAACCTCCAACCTCTTGGGTAGCAGTGGAGCATGTTAACCATTTGCACCACCCAGGGACTCCAGACTAAATATAAACCTGTTGCTATTGAGTTGAATTCCGACTCAGCAACCCTAGAGGACAGAGTAGAATTGCCCCATAGGGTTTCCAAGGAGTGGCTGGTGGATTCGAACTGCCAACCTTTTGGTTAGCAGCCATAGCTCTTAACCACTGTGCCATCAGGGCTCAGTGTAAGTGGTGTAGAAATAAACATGGCAAGAAATGGGCTCCAGCTGTGTCACACTGCAACTCAGGATTTTCCTGTAGAAATTGTGTTATACTGGTGACTGGGTCTGTCATTTAGCTGCAGCTCAGAATAAATAGGTTCTTTGAGAGCTGACCTCAAAAACCATCCCTATAATATTGTTTCTGTGAGGAAGATCCCTTCTGAGTTCTCCATAATTCTGAACGGATGATTTAAAGATCAGTTTGGGGCCACGATCCATTTCTGAATAACATATGTTGAAATAAAAAAAAAAAATCTCATGAATCTCTGACAACAAACAGTTATAGAGTCTTTGCCTGTTGGTTGATAGATGGTAGCTGAGATACTCAGTATCTCAAGCCACATATCCTCAAAAAGAACACTAGTGATTGGGAAACTACACTGCAGAGAAAAACTCTGGCATTTCAGAAGAGCCGCCGGAACCCACCTTCTGCCGTTGGAAGAAACCGTCATTTCCTGAATGTCAATCTTTTTTGACTTTCAAATGGAAGAAAAAGTATAATTGGTGTCCCTAACTGCCACCGCTTCATTATATATCCCAACCGAGTGACTAGAATAGAGAATGTGTGGCTGTCCTAGCAACAGCCTGCTGACATCAGCTAGAGCCCCCCTGAGCTGCACATCCATCTGCACCGTAACAGGCAGGGGGCTCTGGCCTTTGGAAAATAAGAATGTAATGTTTAAACGATTTACCATATTTATTAAAAACAAACCCCAACCAGTGGCCAGCGACTCGATTCCAACTCCTGGTCCCCCACGTGTGCAGAGGAGAACTGCGCTCCGCGGGGTTTTCAATGGCTGTAATCTTTCAGAAGCAGATTGCCAGGCCTTTCTTCCGAGGAATCTCTGCGTGGATTTGAACTGCCAACGTTTTGGTCAGTAGCTGAGGGTTGAACTGCTTGCGCCACCCAAGGACTCCACAGTATATGTTGCCACATTCGGAATCATTTCTATGTATCCATACATGCTCAGGCATTTAGACTTCACTTAAAATTTAACTTTATGATGACGTGGTTGTCTCAAATTGAAATGCTGATTCTGCTTTGGCGAAGTCGGTTGATTCAGAGAGCATCATCTTGTACCTGTCTCTTTAGGGTCCTTTCAGATATTAAAAATGCTGTCTTTTTATTTAAGTACCTGCAGTTATGCATTTAAGGAGCCCTGGTGGCTCAACAGTTAAGCCATCAGCTGCTAACGGAAAGGTTGGTGTTTCGAACCCACCCAGTGGCTTCCGAGGGAGAAAGACCTGGCAGTCTGCTCACGTAAAGATTATAGCATGGGAAACCCTAACGGAGCAGTTCTGTTCTGTCACGGGGTCGCTATGAGTTGAAAATCGACTCAAAGGCAGCTAATAACAACAATTGTGCATTTGAAGTACTTGGAACTTATTTAGTTAATATGTTTTTTATATTAAAGAGTTCATCCGATGTATAACATGAAGGCTAATCCCTGTATCCATGACCTGTTCCTTTGTTTTCTGCATCCAGGTTCTCTTGGCGAGCAGTTTTGTGCCCATTTACTCAGGACTGAGACCCGTGGAATACAAAGGGCAGGTAATGCTGTTACCGCTGAAGGATTCCCAGGGACCCCCACGTTAATACATCCCCTTTGCGTGATCCGATTGCATACTTCTTATGGTGACTCCCAAATCAGGTTATAGAATTTTTCATATATCATTTTATACCTGTTTTACAGAAAATAAAATGAAGTCAGGGATGGTGGCAGCTTGTCAAGATGTAGAGAATGGGAATAATTGACTGGGATGCTCTTATTTTCATCTTAGTTTTTAAAAAAAAAAGTCTTTTGAAATCTTTATCTTTTTTTTTTTGACCACTAAAACACGTTTCCTCCCCCTTGTTGTTAGGTGTGTTTGAGTGAATTCCAAATCATAGCGACCCCATGTGACAGAGTAAAACTTCCCCATAGAGTTTCCTAGGCTATAATCATTTTTTTTTAAAATTGTTGTGCTTTAAGTGAAAGTTTACAATTAAAGTTAGTCTCTCATACAAAAATCTATCCATAAATTGTTATGTGACCCTAGTTACTCTCCCTATGCTGTGACAGCACGCTCCTTGTTTCCACCCCGGATTTCCCGTGTCCATTCAGCCTAGGCTGTAATTTTTACAGGAGCAGATCGCCAGGTCTTTGCTCCTTTGGAACCGCTGGGTAGGTTCGAATTGCCAACCTTTCAGTTAGCAGCCAAGCTCTTAACCACTGCGCCACCAGGACTCCTTTTCCTGACCTAATCAAGTCTTATTCACAGCCCCTTCCAGCAACTGCTAGAAGCCGAACTGCACCCCCAGGGTGGGAAGGGCATGGAGTGGTTGTGTACATAGCCCCCCCACCCCCCACCCCCAAATAGTGCTGTAATGCCTCATCATCGTATCCCACCCCCAGGACCCCCTGCCGGGCAAGGGTCCCTCTTCTCCCTGGTTCTCCTTCTTGACTCCAGCTGCCTAGCTCTGTTTATCACTAGGGGGCTAGAGCGTGTTTTATCAAGGAGAACTCCCTTTTGGGGGGTTGGCACTTAAGGCAGAGTGCAAATTTCTTTTAGGGGAATTAAGGTGGCCATCAGTCTGACCTCAGTTGTCAGCGCTGCGCAAAGATCCCTACGTCAGCTCGGCTTTGCCTTCTACATCGGGTTTGCTCTAAATGTTCACCATTCTCCCTGTACTCCCTCCCCCATCGCACAATGGCCCGATGGTGAAGCACTTGGCTGCTAAACGAAAGGTTAGTGGTTCTCGAACCCGGCCAGCAGGAGAAAGACCTGGCGATGTGCTCCTGTAAGGATTACAGCCTAGGAAACCCTATGGCGCAGCTCTACTTTGTCATATGGGGTCGCTATGAGTCAGGATCCACTGGACAGCACACAACAAAAAACAACAAATTTAACACATGGTGCACCCAGCGGATGCAAACTGTTAATTGCTCAGCTGGTAACCAAAAAGTTGAGAGTTTGAGTCCATCCAGAGACACCTCAGAAGAAAGCCCTGGTGATCTACTTCAGAAAAGTCAGCTAGTGAAAATCCAGGGAGCACCGTTCTACTCTGACACATGTGGGACCACCATGAGTCTGAGTTGACTGGATGGTGACTGGTTAATAGGTATTTATTCATAACTGAGTAAATGAAAATTGTATATATGTCATGCATTCATTCATTTTGAGGGCCCAGAGCAGTGTCTGTACTCAAGGACCTGATGGGCTCACAACAAGGAGTGAATTTGGACAAGTCCCTTAGCTGACATGTTCAGATCCAGTCGGCTCTGATGCTTTATAATGTACTATAATCGTATCAAAAAGGCAGAATGGCTTAAAGAAAAATCCTAAGATTGCCATGAAAAGGGAGTTCCGAGGTCAAAGTCACCAGAACGGCTGATATGGTCGATAAATTATGAGTCAGCGCCTGAAAATATGTGCTGTCCACCTAGTATTAAGGAGCGCTGTGCCGCTAACCAGAAGGACAGCACTTCGAATCCACCAGCTGCTCCAGGGGAGAAAGATGCGGCAGTCTGCTTCTGTAAAGATTACAGCCTTGGAAACCCTGTGGGGCAGTTCTACTCTGTCCGTTAGGGCCGCTATGAAACAGAATCAACTCGATGGCAACGGGTTTGATTTTTTGGTTTAAGGAGATGGAAGAGAGAATGGAATCAAGGCCAGAACAGAACCAAGAGCTAACAGCCCCGCATATTCAAGCACTATGCCGACAACTCTCCTTTTTTAGTACTAGTTCGGTATTATGAACGAGGGGCATACGCAGGAGGCTCCGAGTTCTCGTCCAATATACGTGTTCCTTTTTTCCCTTCGAAACAGAACCCAGTGTGTAGCTATACAACTGTGTAGCTGTGTAGCTAAAAGACTGTGTGTCCCAGCCTCAAGCCTCACTTGTAACTCCAAAACAAAAAACAAAACTGCCGTCGAATCAATTGCAACTCATAGCAACTGTGTAGGACAGAGTAGAACTGCCTCAGAGGGTTTCCAAGGAGGAGCTGGTGGATTTGAACTGCTAACCTTTTAATTAGCAGCCGTAGCTCTTAACCACTGCACCGGCAGGACTCCAACTTGTAACTAGACGCGGCTAAATGTTTAAGTGCTAGCCAGTGAGGTAGAAGCTGAATTACCATGGGGCCTCCAGGAAAGGCAGTAGTGCACTTTTCTTTCCTTTCTGCTGCCTGGAACTTAGATGTAATAACTGGAGCTCCAGCAGCCATCTTAGATCATGAGGTCAAAGCTCTCATCCTAGGGATGACAGAATAGTGAATGGGAAAGAACCTGAGTTCTGAGAGATTTTTTTGGACATGCCTTACCACTTTTACTGCCATGGTACTTTTATCAAGAAAAAAAGGGGTAAAACTTTTGTCATTATTGTTACTTTCTTTTAGATGTTACAGAATACAATTCTGTTATAGGAGTAATTACCTTCGTTTTTACAGATAAGAAAACTGAAACGTAGACGTATTAATTTACTTTCTTGCGGTAGCTTAGCTTGAAATGGGGCCACTTTCCCAGGATGATCACTAATGCTTGTATCTCTGCTGTGTCTATGTCGTTGTTTGCTGCTGTCAAGTCGGCTCTGACTCACGGAGATCCCGTGTGCAACAGAACAAAACATTGCCCAGCCCTGTGCCCTCTTCACAATCCTTGGTGTGTCGCAGTCCATTGTTGACCATCTCCATGATCTTTGATAGGTTTGACTCCATTGTTGAGGCTATTGTATCAGTCTACCTCCTGGAGGGTTTTCCTCATTTTCGCTGACCCTCTACCGAACATGAGTCTCTATAGTTCCTTGTTAAAAATATGTCCCTCATTTTATTTCCATACCACTTCTTGAGAGTGTGACTGGAAGAGTAGGAATTGTTCAAATGGTCAGGTGTGAGGAAGCGTACTTTCCCAGTTACATTCTCCATCATGTGACTGACTCCTTGGTCACAGATGTACAGCCACAGCCACAGCCACAGGTAAACAGTAGGGAACGCACAGGCCTGCAGCAGCGAGAACAGTGGAAATCATTGCACCAAAGCCCCTTGACACCGGACAGCAGGACCACGTCTTGCTGATCACTTAGCACCTGTGCACTTACTTGTTGACTTGAGCTGAATGTCTCCTGAATGCATTCAGGGGTCCTTTGTTGTTTAATGAAGGCTGCAGTGAGGTGACCCCGTGCACGCTAATGACTGGCAGAAAACGACAGTGGTCGGGCATCCTGCCCTCCTCCTGTGCTGTTGCCAGTTCTCTGTGAGCCTGAACCTCCCCCACCGTGCAGCCGACTTTCCATGCCAAGATCTTCCCTAGAATCTCTCCTTTCCGTTTTCGAGGAAATGTTAGCTTTGCTTCAAATGCAGTGTTTTACTGTGGTTTCAGATTCTCAAGTGGTTTAAATGGCATAAAAATTTCAGCCGTGCTGAAAACACCTCTGATTTTCTAGAATTTAATGTTTGCCTGGGACTTGGGTTTGGATTTGCTTGTTGGCATTGGTTGTTTCTTCTGAAGCATCTGAGGCTGAGGCAGCAGAAGGTCCAGAGGGGACTTGGCACTGCTGGCATCTGGGGCATAGGGTCCCGGAAGGCAGAGGAGGTGACTGGGTGAGGGGGCAGCCACCCAGAGGAGGCCTGGCCTCGTCTCTTCTCTTGTGACTCCTGTTAAACACACAGGCCTCCTCGTTTTTATGTCTGACATCACCTATGTTCCAAACCTACTGGATTTTATTAAGATTCTTTTGTGGACAAAATCATTCTATCTTATTTCTAAAATCTTTTATTAGTTTCTTCAGTAAGACTTAAGATTAACTTTTTATTGTTGTTGTTGGGGGCCATCCAGTCGATTTTCGACTCGTGAAGACCCCATGTGACAGAGTAGAACTGCCCCATAGGCTTTCCTAAGCTATAATCTTTATGGGAGCACGTTGCCAGGTCTTTCCCTGTGGAGCCACTGGGTGGGTTGAAACCGCCAGCATTTCAGTTAGCAGCTGAGCTCTTAAACTTTGCGCCACCAGGGCTCCTTAATAATTTAAACCTAGCAAGTAAAAGTAAGATTCCTTCTTAAAATGCCCAGCAGTTGTTTGAAGTGGTATGACATCTTTCAAAACTGCTGTATTTCCCCTTTCTTAGTGTTGTAGTATTCTCATAACGTCACGGTTAGCACCTTCCTTGCAGGAGATTCTCGGTAATAGCTGAGTAAAGGAGTGCATGGAAAGAAACTGAAGTTAAATCTTATGTTTTTCAGCAGTGAAAGCTTATTCAGGGTATGTCCCCTCTTTCCACTGATAGAATAAGCTACTGGAACGTTCACTCTGTCGGGTCATGCTTCCATAGATTTTTACCATCAATTTTGGAAAAAGAATGAGAATTTTAAAGAGGCGTTCTTACCTAATAATTTTAGCATTGATATTGGCAAATGATTAAAATATCAGAATAGAATTGACATATGCAGATGACAAAAAAAAGTGATAGTTTTTTTTTTTGTTGGTCTAGAGTTAGAATTCAAGTAATCATATTTAAAACGTTATACTATTAAAAGAAAGTATTTAGGAAATTTATCTTTGTATTGTCCTAGTAAGGAGCCCTGGTGGCGCAGAGGTTAAGCACTCAGCTGCTAACCAAAAGGTCAGTGATTCAAACCCACCAGCCCCTTCATGGGAAAGAGATGTGGCAGTCTGCCCCCATAAGGACTTACAGCCTCGGAAACCCTGTGGGGGCAGTTCTACTCTGTCTTTGGGGTCTCTATGATCAGACTAGTACATTGATTATTTGTGGGGCTATGAATTGCTAACTCATGGTGATCCCGTGTGATACAGAATAGAACTTCTCCATAGGGCTATCTTGGCTGTGATCTTTAAGGAAGCAGATCATCAGGTCTTTCTTCTGCAGCACTGCTGTGTGGGTTTGAACTGGCAACCTTTAGGTTAGTACCGGAGTGCAAACTATTTGCCCCAACGTTAATACATGTGTTGGAACTGACTCGACAGCAATGAGTTTTTTTTTTTATTTTTAATGAGTTGTTGATCCTTTCATTATTATATGATGCAATTTCTGAGGGAAAGACAGTGTGGAATAGTCTTTGTTACTAAGGATTTGTATAAAACAGTCCCTCTTGTCCTTGGCCCCCGTTTCTTCCTGCCCTCCATAGGCATTCCACTTGGGGATGAGGTGCAGTCATGGTCATGGGAACGCTGGTGGCTGACCTGGCTACCAGCTGGATTGGGTTTGATGGAGACCTGGTTGGCAATTGATAGGTATTCTAGTATAGAAGCTCTTAGTGTTTCAGCAATTTTAAAACATTTTAGAATGGCCTATTTGATTTTTGAAAAAAAAATGCTAGTATTGCAGAGAATATTTTCTATAAGTGGTTTATAGACTGTCAGCTGCCCTGGTGATGCAACGGTTAAACGCTCAGCTGCTGACCAGAAGGTTGGTGGTTCGAATCCACCCAGTGGCTCCACGGGAGAAAGACTTGTCGATCTGTCCCATAAAGATTCAAAAACCAACTCACAAGGACCCTATAGGACAGAGTAGAACTGCCCCCATAGGGTTTCCAAGGCTATAATCTTTACGGGAGCAGATAGCCAGCTCTATTCTCCCACAGAGCAGCTGGTGGGTTCAAATCGCCAACCTTTCGGTTAATAGCTGAGCACTTAACCACTATGCCACCAGACCTCCTTCCATAAAGATTCCTCTTGCCGTCAAGTTGATTCCGACTCTTAGTGACCCTATAGGACAGAGTAGAACTGCCCCATAGGGTTTCTAAGGAGTGGCTGGTGGATTCGAACTACAGCTAAGCTCTTACCCACTGGGCAACCAGGGCTCCCCATAAAGATTACAGCCTTGGAAACCCTATGGGGCAGTTTTACTCTGTCACGTGGGGTTGCTATGAGTCAGAATGAACTCAGCAGCACCTAACAACAACAAAATATACATACATACATGAAAATGTGTGTGTCTGTATAATAGATGTGTGTTACATTCTTGTAAAAATAAATGGCAATATACAGATTATACAGGTCAGCTTTGTTTTAACTTGATCTACTTCTGTTTTCTGCTCCACCAAAATGCAGTTCCCTAAAAATGTAAGTTCAACTCAGCTGTATTTCTTTATTTCTTTACTTTTCTCCCCTTAGGGGAATCAGTAGCTGGCTAGGGCAGTTGTAAACAATGTTGTACCAGTCATCAGCAGATTTGGAAAGAAAACCGAGTAAGAAAGGCTTAAGAAAGGGACACCTTAGAAGATATGAACAAGTTAAAGACATTTTGTACTAACCTGTTTCTCCCTCCTCACTGCACCCTTTGTTGGGTAGCACAGCTTTGCTTTTCTACATCACATTTCAAATGTGTAAGTGAAATGTAGTTTACACACTTCTCAGTTAAAGATTTCTGTGTGAGGGATTCTCAGTCGTTACCATGATGGATAGATGGGTGGATGGATAATAGATAGATAAATGCATGAATGGATGATAGATGGATGGATGGATGGATGGGTGGATGACAGACAGATAGATATACATGATAGATGGACAGATAGATGACAGATAGATGGATGTAGATGATAGGTATATAGATAGATGATAGAATGAATAGAGACATAGCCATAGATATATAGAGATATTTCTCATATCATCTGGAGGATATTTTTAATGACAGATATGACTTTGGGAATTTTAACTTTATTTCTGTGTTTGCTTATTGCTGGAGCCCATCGTGTAAACACATAGGTATATGGATGGACTGAGACTCTTAGCCTTGGAATAGACAGCCTAGGGAATACTGTCCTTTTGCTTTGTCAGCAGTCATTTCTTAGTGTGCAGCCCTGTAGCATGATGATGAAGAGGCTGCTGTGGCACAGCACACACCTCGAGCATCCCACCCTGCTGTCTCATCTTGTGGCTGCGCTTTCATTTCCTTTCTGTAGAAGCTTCTCTTTCCTGCTCTGTGCTCACCCTCCTTGGGGCTGGGGTTGACAGCACAGAACCCCTTCTGAGTAATGTTTGTTTTTTACTCAGCCCTTCTCATTCTTCTTAGCTTTAAGGATTGGACCCCCTGCTTGACGTACTCAGGAGCCACTTTAGAAACAGAAGAGCGTTGGGTTCTGCTATTCACTGTTAAATTTGCTGCAGGAAATGCTGATTTCCAATTCTTATAATAGAAACGTAAGCTCCCGTTGTGGTGGATGTTTTGTTCGGTGTCAGCGGTAAACTCGACTTTCCACTTGATTAAATAATGAATCCTAACCTCATGCCACCAGGCTTCTTCTGCATGTGCCATAATCAGTCAGACGTTAGGTGCCTATTGTGTGAAATCATTTACTTAAAGCTTTCGAACAATTGGAGAGATTTCCTGATTCTGTCCAGAATTCTTTATTATATGGGTAAATCGTAGGTGAACAGAAATTTGTTTTGCTTCCAAAATAGATCCCCAATAAAGTTGTTGTTAGTTGCCCCCGCCCCGCGGGTCAATTCTGACTCATAGTGATCCCCACGTGACAGAGTAAAACTGCCCCCTAAGGTTTCCTAAGCTATAATCATTACAGGAGCAGATTGCCAGGTCTTTCTCCCTCAGAAGCCACTGGGTGGATTTGAACCGCCAATCTTTCGGTTAGCAGCCGAGCATTTAACTGTTGTGCCACCAGGGTTCCTTCCAGTAAGTTAGCACTCACAAATAATAATCCAAAAGCCTACCCCAGGCGTGGCTTTTTGTCGAAGGAAAGAACATCGTGTGGATACACCCTGCTCATTTTCCTGCCTTGTCCTCATGCGGACGCTTCTGTTTACAGATGTGGGTTGATGGCGGCTTCACCAATAGCCTCCCTATCCTGCCCGTGGGCCGGACAGTGACCATCTCGCCCTTTAGTGGACGCTTGGACATCTCGCCACAGGACAAAGGGCGGCTAGATCTGTACATCACCATCTCCAAACAGGACATAACGGTGAGACGTTCACTACCGCAGCAAGGGAAGCGTGCTCATCCCCTCAGAGTCCCCACAGAACTTAAGGGGATCCCCGAACCTCAGAAGCTCCTCGCTGATGCTGTGTGCAGACTGTATCTTCTTAACAGTGTGCTTTTAGTATTTCCACTCTGCACCCTACGTCGTGAGTGCATGACGTGGGTCCTGGAGACCGTGAACATGCAATCCTTTTACTATTCATACACTATTTGTGCAGTATTTTCGTTTTCTTCACTGCTTGTTCAGGCCAGTAAGCGTGGTGGAATTTCAGAGCCACTTTTAAGTTAGATCACTTATTTGTTTAAAAAGTTGGCAGTGATTTAAGTATATAAAAATATGGGAGAAAAACATAGGGACCCAAATGAGTCATTTACATTAAAGAATCAGTTGCCTTAATCTAGTCTAGTGGTTCTCAGCGGGGCGGGGGGGGACAATTTTATCCCCCCAGGGACATGTGACGATGTCTGGAAACACTTTTGGTTGTCATAATTTGGGGAGGTGCTGCTGGCACCTAGTAGAGGACTCTAATACTGCTAAACACCCTACAGTGCACAGGACGGCCCCACCAGAGGGAATGACTCAGGGATGGAGACCAGGGATGCTGCTAGACACCCTATAGTGCACAGAACGGCCCCACCACAGGGAATGACTGAGGGGTGGAGACCCGGGATGCTGCTAGACACCCTACAGTGTACAGGACGGCCCCCACCACAGAGAATGACTAGTGGGTGGAGACCAGGGATGCTGCTCAGCACCCTACAGTACATAGGACAGCCCCTCGAACAAAAAATCATTACACCCAAAACATCCATGGTGCTGAGGCCCAGAAACCCTTACCTAGTCTATGGGTGAAGTCAACTTTATGGGGTTAGTTTTTTCCGATTTTTGATTTCACAGTTTTACGTGTGGTAAGAAAGTTTAGGTTATGTAAAGTAGCATGTATTTGCCTGTTCTGTTACACCCTATAGCTTAACTTTCTGTCTTTCGGTTCTAGTTGTCTGTGACCAACTTGGTGAGACTCGGTCAAGCCCTTTTCCCACCAAACGAGAAGACAATGCAATCACTGTATCGCTGTGGCTTTGATGACACCGTTAAGTTTTTACGGAAAGAAAACTGCTTTGAATAGAATGCTTGGAAGTTTATAACACAAAGCAGATTTCTGATAGTTTTTGACAGCGGTTTCTAATGAAATATTCTGTTGTTTTTTATTTTTAATCTATCAGGACTTTGTCAATTAATAAGTAAGGAACTAAGAGACAATTTCTTAGAATTTGCTAGCATCATGAAGAAGGCTAGACTCAGGAGTTGTTTGGGTTTTGTGTGTGTGTGTGTGTGTGTGTGTGTGTGTGTGTTGTGAAGATATACATAACAAAGCATACGTCTTCTCCACAATTTCTACATGTACAGTTCAGTGACATTTATTATATTCTTCAGGTTGTACAGCCATTCTCTCTATCCTTTTCCAAATCACTCCACCACCATTAACACAAACTCACTACCCCCCATGCATAAACCACCCCCTCCCTCCCACCTCTGGTGACCACTAACAATCTCTGGTTTCTGTATATTTGCTTACTTCATGTAAGTGAGATCATATGGGATTTGTCCTTTTGTGACTGACATATTTCGTCCAGCACAGTGTCTTCAGGGCTCCTCCGTGCGGTGGCCGGCATCAGGACCTCCTTTCTCTCTGTGACCGAGTAGTGCTCCATTGTGTGATAGCCCACAGTGTCTTTATCCTTTCTTCTGTTGATGGACATTTAGGCTGTTTGAGGCATCGTTTTTAGAGAACAGTAATGTCCTTCTGAAAGCCCGTTTAAATTTTGGAGTGCAGGCTCTTTGGGTAAGCCGAGGATGTCTCTTGACATAAAGCATGGTACTTCCACGAGTTACCCGTTTCCAGTAGGTCCAGAATGGAAGGACCAGTGCTCTCGGGCTGAACTGGGCCGAGGAGAGACCCTGCTGTCCAGGGCGCTGTTGGTGGCAGAGAAAGGAAGTGAGGACTACACGGCCTCATCCAAGACTTTGACTAGTGCTGAAGGAAAAAGCTGCTCTTCTCCTGCTGGTGCTGCTGGTGGTGGGTGCACTTGAGACTCCAGCTCATGACAACTCCGTGTGTGCAGAGTACAACTGCTCCAGAGGGCTTTCAAGGCTGTGACTGTTCAGAAGCAGATCTCCAAGCTTTACTTCTGAGGTGCCTCTAGGTGGGTTTGAACCTCTAACCTTTCGGTTAACAGTCCAGTGCTTAACCATTTGAGCCACATGGGGACTTCATTTCTTTTCATAGGCGCATGCAGTTGCTCTGCTGAAGAGGGAGGGGGTGCAGGGAAAACTAGGCCTATCTCCTGTACTCTTCAGTAGAGGCTTGCCCTCACCTAAGACTCCCCCCAAGCTGAGGAGATTAACAGGCTTTTGGATGCTTTGCTGTTGTAAACCCAGGTCTTTGTACTTTATATTGTCTCTCTCTGTCCCTTTCCCTTCCTCCTCTGTTCTTGTCTCTCTCTTCCATACCTCACTGAACGTTTAGCCATTGGTCTGTATACTGGATGTATCTACTCCAGGAACTTAAGTGCATAGAACATCACTGAACATGAAGAACCAAGTAGCTTGGTGAATAGGACTGAATCCCAGAACCATCACTCATCTGTTAGTCTTAAGCCGTGTCATGCCCATCCTGGGGCTTTCATTTTCCCAGTTGTTCTCCTGTCATTTTGAGGACTGGTGTCTGGGTTTGTCCTAATTCACTTACACTGTCTTAAATCCGTTTTTATGGGGGTTTGCCAAGCATGAACTCTTAATTGCTAAGAGGCAGTTGCAAACAAACCACTTTAATTGAATGTCTCTAATTGTCATACATTTCTCCTTTTACCCTTTGAAATCATTCTTTAAATCGATTTTATGGTTCTTAAATTCCAACATACAGTTTTCAGCACAGAGACAACAACTTATACTTCTCTTCTGCCATGTATGCTAGAACAGTGATGGCTCTTGTGTATATATTACTATTATTTATATTTAGTAAATAAACCAAAAGCAAACTAAACCCGTTGCTGTTGAGTCGATTCCGACTCATAGTGACCCTATAGGAGAGACTAGACTGCCGGATAGGGTTTCCAAGGAGCGGCTGGTGGATTCAAACTGCCAATCTTTTGGTTAGCAGCTGTAGTTCTTAACCACTGGGCTACCAGGGCTCCTGTGTGTTTATGTGTGTGTGTGTATATATATATTGTATATAATATATATATAATCTTTTCTAGCATCAATGTAGTTAAATTTTAATATGTTGTAATGAGTGACATGGACTGGATGGATTGTCCATTCATTGTTTCATCTGTTTATTCACTGTGTAAAATTTACAGTTTGGCTACGCTTTTTTTCAGTTTCCCCTTTGCATGCTCATTTTATATGAATATACTATTTGTATAATATTTTAACAAAGTCTTTACTGATGTCTCCAGTGAAGACAGATCTTAATGCATCCAATGTCTTTGAAATATTTTGAGCCCATGACATCTGTTCACGAAGCATGATCTTTGACCAGATTGGTGGATGGTCCTTTCTTAAAAAATATGATGAGGTCATGGACAGCGAGCTCAGTTTACAGCAGCTGCAGTGCCCAAGTGGTTTGTGCTCAGCTGCTACGCTAAAAGTTGGCAGTTTGAATTCACCCAGTGGCTCTGCAGAAGAAAGGCCTGGAGAACTGCTTTTGTTAAATGTTGTTGTTATTAGCTGCTGTCAGGTCGATTCTGACTCCTGGTGACCCCATGTGTGTCAGAGTAGAACTGTTCTCCATAAGGTTTTTATTGGTTGGTCTTTCAGAAGTAGATCTCCAGGACTTTCTTGCGAGGAGTCTCTGGGTGGACTCGAACCTCCAACCTTTTGTCTAGCAGCCGAGCGCTTAACCGTTTGCAACACCTATAGAATCCTCTGTTAAGATTACAGGCAAGAAAGCCCTATGGAGGGTTTTGTAACACGTGAGGACTGTAACACGTGGGGCCTTTACCAGCAGAGGGCTGACTCCTCGGCAGCTAACAACGAAAGACAGCATGAAAAAATGTGGCGACATGAAGAGACACACAACTTGTGAGCCTGGAGCCTCTTGTGTGAGACAGGTCACAGGGCGTGCTGCTTTGCCTTTGCTAGAGTGGGTCCTCATGCCTCTACACCAGCCAAGGACGGGCAGTAAAAAGAGGATCTGCCTTGTTACCGGGACAGAATTTGGGATACTGTGGAGCTGGAATATGGCAAGTCTGAAGAGACTTTCTGACCCAGATACTGATATGTTTGCAGGGTAATTACTGTGATTGGCAGCTTCATAAGTTCCCAGTTCCCTGTTGGGGCAATTTCCTAACATCTTTGAATCTGTCATTTAAAATTTCATTAGTCTTGCTTTTCTTCTTTTCAGTAACGCCCTTGACTTTGTAACTATGGTAACCTCCTGCTTCCATTGACAATTAGAGAAAATAGATTTGGTTTTGAAGTTAAATACTGCTCCAAAGGAGCAAGCGGTAAATTAAAAAAACAACAAAACCTCTGTTCCATTCCGATTTCACAGCATTGGGTGCAGGTCTGGGCACAGCAGAGGCCTGCAGAGAGACTGCTGGATGGCTCTGGCCCCGACTTGGGATTCCAAGCAGACATGGGCTCTCAGATGCACAGACTTTAGTCATTCACTTTCACTTTTTTCCTGGTAATTGAAACAGATCAAATTGCCTTCCTTTTTATATTTGTAAATGTTAATCGTAGAAATTTCTTGGATCCCGCATGTTATTTTTATAGTCGAGAACCCAGGTTCAGTGATTTGATTTTGCATAAGCTGTAGAACTGGGCAACGTTTTGTTCTGTTGTATGTAAGGTCGCCATGAGTTGGAGCCCGCTTGAAGGCAGCTAACAACAACATGTCACCCCTATAAACCAACCCAAACCAAACCTGTTGCCGTCGAGTCAGTTTCAACTGACAGCGACCCTATGGGACAAAGTAGAATTGCCCCTAGAGTTTCTAAGACTGTAAATCTTTACAGAAGCAAACTGCCACATCTTTCTCCTTCGGACAAGCTGGTGGATTCAAACCACTGACCTTTCAGTTAGCAGCCGAGCACTTAACCACTGCACCACCAGGGCTCCACAGTGTCCATTATGAATCGGATATTCTCTACCACACCCACTTTACAAGGAAACGTAGGTTTTGGGGTATAGCCAGAGTGCTCCTTGGAAGCAAGGATGGCGAGATTTCATTTTACATACTTTGGATGTGTTGTCAGGAGGGATCAGTCCCGAGAAGGACATCATACTTGGTAAAGTAGAGGGTCAGCGAAAAAGAGACCCTTGACAAGATGGATTGACACAGTGGCTGCAACAATGGGCTCAAGCATAGCAACGATTGTGAACATGGCACGGGACTGGGCAATGTTTCGTTCTGTGGTGCCTAGGGTCACTCTGCATCGGAACTGACTTGATGGCACCTAACAACAACAACCACGACCTTTTGGAAGCAGATGGCCAGGACTTTCTTCCGAGACACCTCTGGATGGGTTCGAACCTCCAAGCTTTTGTTTAGTAGTCAAGCACTTAACCATTTGTACCACCCAGAAACTGTGATTACTAGAGAGATGGACAACTTTTTTAAAAATAAACTTTTTTTTTTTCAAACAATCATAAAACGTGAGTGTCCAGTAATAAAAAGAGTGTTCCTGAGTTAATGGAGAGTCAGTTCCCTGGCCTGCTGCCCTACCACCCCGGTTACATTTGTGTGTACTTCCTACAAACAGGGCCATTGTCCTACATAACCCATAAACCCGTTGCCGTCGAGTCGATTCTGCCTCATAGAGACCCTATAGGACGGAGTAGGACTGCCACATAGGGTTTCCAAGGAGCGCCTGGTGGATTCGAACTGCCAACCTTTTGGTTAGCAGCGGTAACACTTAACCACTATGCCACCAGGGTTTCCAATTGTCCTACATACCCACTATATAATAATACCAGGAATTAACATTTATGGAATCCACAGACCCATTCGAGTTTCACCAGTTATCCCTCTAATGCGATCTGTGACAAAGGAATCCAGGTCAGAATTCATGCCCAACTCAGCTGTCTTCTCTCTTCAGTCTCCTTCAGTCTGTATCACTTTCTCAGTCTTTCCTGGACTTCATGGTCCTCGGCGTTGGGGAGACTGAGGACCAGTGATTTTGAGGATCTCCTCAGTTTTGGTTTGTCTGATGTTCTCTCAGGATTAGATTCCGGTCATGCATCTTTGGCAGGGAAATCACAGACGTGACGCTGTGTT